ACACACACACACACCCGCGCGCGCATGCGCGCTTAACCACAGCTTTTTTGACCTTACAAAGCATGCCATCCATTAGAAACAACAACACTGGCTTTTGCTACACGGCTTTGGCTGATGGGCTCGCATCACACGTTTGTGCAGTCGGACGTTGTTCAAGTTGGGCACATGCAGGATCGCGAGGTGCCATCCGAACCAAACGTGTTTTGTGGTGCAGTTACGTTAGAATCTAAATGCAAGTGGGAAGAAACAAGCGAAAACAAAGTCTCCAAGTGAACTTGGCTCACGAACACAATCAGCCGCTCGGTTGTGAACTTTCGAAGTTGTCCAACTGGAGCGCGTGCTAAGTTAGCGCTTGACGGCTTGCTGGCTAACTTTTGGTTCAAAGCTATCAGAGATACGACCTCACACATTTACACAGAAAATCGAAGGTGGTTTAATCATATAGAAACTGATTCTCCTGCATCAATGCTACTCACCTTTCTTTCGAGCTCTCTGTGTGACCCGGTAACGGCTAGTTTTCACGTTTTCAGGGTTTATTTGAGCGGACTGGAGGCCTTGTGTATGAAGCAGCACACTTGGTTAATTGACATGGACATGGCCCTACACCGAGGTCAGCATTGGTATTCAAGCTGATGTGCGCGCCCTAGCTGTTGCTGAGCTCACAGCATGAGCACCAGACAGAGAGAGAGACAGGGAACACTTGAGAGACAACCTTGCTTGAGATGGGTTGCCAGCACTATGTTGCTTCAATTATTTTGATGTATGTTTGCAATTTTGTACCCGTGACTATATACAGACATCGTAATCAGTTTCGAGAGACCCAAGCCTTGAGGACTCCTGCCAAGTGTCCTGGCCCAACCGCCGTTGATGATAGACAAGCAAAGCAACATATAAGAACCTAATAGAACCAATACTTTCTTAAATCTGGCAAATCTTTGTGAGCACATGTTGTATTTGAGTGTTGCTGCTGTTCTTGCCTAATCCCTGTGACAATTCTTTGGCACATCTTAGATCCAACTCAACCAGATGCATCGTGCTCTTTTTTCCGCATTCCACTATATAATTTTCGGAAGCCTTCCCTTACAGTAGACACCGGACAGCACAGGGATCACGTGCGAAGCTCGACCACGTCTCTCTTTCCCCCCACAGGTCCCTCTACTCCCCGGTCACCGTGTCGGTGCTGAACACGGTGAAGCGAGCCTTGATCATTTGTGGGGACACTCGGAGTACTCGGCCGAAACTGGTGGACATTTCGAAGAGGGGCACTCGCGGCGATGTAATGCGATGTATATAGCTGCTACCACTGGGCACGAGATGATAAAAACTCTCCTGGAACAGTCGGAGGCGAGAAGTGGGCGGAGCGGACAGCCAATCTCCTTACCCAGGAGAAGTGGACAGACTGCCTAACAATGGATTGGTTTCCCCACTGAACAGGTGGAGAACAGGGAAACTCAGGGAGTCAGCGGGCTAGGTCCCGAAGGGAGGAGAGAAAACCGCCGACTCGCGCGGGCGAGGCGGTTTGATTTCGGCAAGATAGATGCACATGGTGTACACCTTCGAAGCCACTCTTCTTCGAACCAGAGGGGCGTGTGTGTGTGTGTGTGTGTGTGTGTGTGTTGACTGGAATGCTTTGAGGCTGCTCAGCGTTGTACTTCCGGAACGTCATCACCTTGACCACACTGCGCCGACCTGAGCCCCATCGGCCTCATTACTTGTAGCTTCAATTTTGAGACCAACAATGGAACAATGATCCCGTGATAAGGTAAAGACTGACAAGTGAAAGGGGGGTCCAAGATGGTTCCAAGGCTCCATAGATCAATGTTTGTGCCGTGGTTCGGGCCGTCACTGAAGAATGCATCTTTGCTTTCTGAGTTTGGCCCACCAGGGAACTTTGGAGGTGCAATTTCTAGATGGGAATTCTTTCAGGTTGTCAGCACTGCTTCGCTTGCACAGACCCATCGTTGCAGCACTGATTCGGTGGAATACGCGTCACGTCGCCCAGGTGCGGCACTGCGTGGAGCCCAGCTGGAGGGACTGGGCCCGGTGCGGAACCTGGGAGCGACGGTGCTGCCCGGTGTGAAACAAACTCGGCAGCTTCCTGGAAGCGGAGTTTTTTCGTTGTTGGTTCGTCTTTTTGGTAGAGTCGATCGGCAAATCATCCATGGCTGACAGGCAGTTGAAACATGCGACATCCAGCTGCCCTGCGGATGTGGTTGCATATGTCATCATAATGTCCAATCAAGACTACAGCTGAGAATGCCGAGGTGGTGACATTGTTGGGGAGTGGCTTGTATGGCACCTTGGATGATATGATTGCGAGAATAAAGAGAAGGGGTGTCATTTTTTGGGTGCTGAACATGGTTTAACTTCCATTGGTGGAATAATCATTGTGATCAGATGCTGCGGCTTCAGATTTCAATCTTGTTCGACCGGAGACACGAGGTTTTACATGTAAACTGTAAACCGTTCTCTTTCCACAGCTCCGTCCCCAATACCCTGATGCCCACAGCTCGGATCAAAGCCCTTCTAAAAAACCCCAGATGGACTTTTTGCGTCGCCACGACTGGAAGCAAATGGTGGCGGTGACCCGCCGGTTGCCCTGGCGCTCGACCCTCTTGTTGCCGAGCTTCCAGTCTTTTGACTGAAAAACAAGGTTCCGCTGTTTCGCTGTATATGTCTAGGGCTCGATGGGCACAATACCCGCCGGGATCTTCCAGAGTCGAAGCCACTGCTTGAAACTTGCTTGGAAAGCTTTTGGGGGGGGGCCACTGGCTGCTGGTCCAACCGGAGATTGATCGTGTGCTATGCAGATTCGAAATCTTCGACTAGGGGGTCAGCAGAATCAGGTGGGCTCGGAAAACTGCCATGGGCTCGCTTTCTTCCCAATGAGAACAACCATGCGATTCCAACCCCTCGTTGACTCCCAGACGCCCCACGAGGCATCCTGAAGTCTACGCATGTCTCGTCTGAAGTCTACGCCGCTTCGCTACGAGCTCAGTGAGGTTCGGATCATCCCCACATTGGTCGAGCGAAGCGCGCGAGGTTTTTACATGTTTTTGTTTGTCCTTCAGCAGAACAATGGTTCCTCTAAGATCCTCTAAGGCTTTGGGGTTAGTTCGGTTCCACACTCTGTATTATACCTGGCTTCCCCATGACGAAATGTGTCATCAAGCCCCGGCTGTTCAGCAACAGTACCGAACACAGAAAAAAAAGAACAACATTCATCCCCGAGGCGGCAATTTGAGATAATCTCTTATGCTGCTTCCCACCACATACGTTCATTCCATTCCAAACATAGGACAGTTGACAATTCCACTACCGCCCATGTCATCCGGATTACTCGTGCTACTCGTACCTCAAACGGCTCAGACGCACCGCTGTTGTTGCTGTGAGCGAAATTGAAGTAAATACATGACATGACGTCACAAACTTTGGACACTACATTATGTGGTATCGGCGGTGGTATCGACATATATATTTTGTTGTATAATATAATACTGTAACACTGTATGTTAATTCTACCTATTCAGGGAATGACATTATTGACAAGCTTACGGCTAGCTTTGACACCACGGCGGAAAGGCGGGCAGATGCCCATGCTGTCCAACAATCCCCTAAGTAACTTGAATGCATTCTTCCGCTGCCGCGGGTTTGTTCGACACATTCTGAATGGCTGCCTGGTGCAAAGAGTCAAAGAGTATCCAGGGAAGCTGAAGTTTTTGACCTTGATCCCTCACTTTTCGTCCTTTTCGTCCCTCACTTTGATCTCCCTGCCTACACTGAGGAACTCCATGGCCCCTGAGGCGTGGCACGTGCGGGCCGTTTTGGGGCGCGGGGAACCTCACCTGCGGAGACCTTCGGGTGGCCCAACATGACCCAACCTACTGCCAGAAGCTTGGCATAGGAGACCAGGGAGGTAGGGTGGACGAGAGAGAGAGAGAGAGACAAAATATATATATATACTGAAATTACTGTCAGCACACCCGGAACCTGAAAGTACCAGTTTGTTTTTTGGATGTTGGGGAAAGTTGTCAATATATATATATATATATATATATGATCAAAACATCTCAAAACAACCAGGAAATTTATAAATTGATAAAAATTGCATACAGTGTATATATATATATGATGCCACATGCTTGGTCATATATAACGAGCAACAACTATTTGTGTAAATCCAGCCGAGTGTTGCTCAAGTGCCTACACTTGTATTTTTGGGCCGTATTCCTGTGTATCCTCAGTTGGTGGTCAAAATTAAATCGGAGTACCTCAGGCACCTGCATTAGTGACAGATCACTTTAGTGACGGCCTACCTTGGCTGCTGCACATGGATGTACGGGGGTTGGTTCCGTAAAAAACATTAGTGATGACTCAGAAACTTTATTGGTGGTAGCTAAGGGTTGAGAAATGAAGATACGATTAAGGGCATTGTGGCATCAATAATCTAAATCTGATTCCAGGGTGGCTTCCATAACTTTCATTTCATCTAAAGTGGGCTCTTGCTGTGCTATTGTGCCTTTTGTTTGTCTTGCTGTGTGTGTGCGCGCGCTAATGTTGGGGTAGCTAAGGGTGGAGACATGAACATAAAAAGAAGAGCATTTTTGCATCAATAACCTCAATCTGATCTCAGGGTTGGCTCCCATAACTTTCATGTCATCTAAAGTGAGCTTTTGCTATTGTGCCTTTTGTTTGTCTTGCTGGGTGTGTGTGTGTGCTAATGTGCGGGTAGCTAAGTGTGGAGAAATGAAGATACATTGAACGTTATTTAGGCCTGGTTGGCTCCCATACATTTCATTTCATCCAAGGCAGGTTGAGGAAAAAGAGTGGCGGAGATTGCTCAGAGACAGAGTTCACTCCCAACAGTTCCAATATAATCAATATAACTTGCACTTCCTTCAACGAATGACGCTTTGCTGAGCTCACTACTTCAGGTAGCCACCACTAGTGTCAGGTAGCCAACCTTAAGAGCATCACTATTTCAGGCTGCCAACCTTAAAAGCTCCTAAAAACCTTCAAGCGTTTGCTCATCTATGAGGCTGAGGTACCAGACCCCCACCTGCGCCAAGCCTACCTACCAACGTTAGCTACCCCAATAAAAACACCCCTCACTTGGAGGTCGGCTCCCTCATTAATATGGGGTGCCAACCCTCACTGGGAGCTACAACCGTGGGATCCTGTGTGTTCAGATTGTGAGTTGCTTTTCCCGTATATTTTGACGAACCCAAACCTACAAAACATACAAGAAGCCATGTTCTTTTTAGAAAATACCGGAATGATCTTTTGGGACACGATCAAACAAGCTGTTGCTTCAGACACATATTTTCTGTTTTGCCACTCACCACCTCGCCAGGCGATCGCGCCAAAGACGACCCCGACCCCACCGGTGACTGGGTTTGGTGGATCGGGTGATGGTTCTTTTTCAACGATCACGGGATATACAGTAGTGAATTTAAGAGTAGGTGGCACTGGCACCCCAAGATGTCTTTGAAGAACAAGGGGTCTACTCTGAAACCACTGTAGATTGCATTGCCCATTCCTTCTTAGTGATCTCATTCTAGATGGAAAGGTCTCCTAATGTCCTAAAACATACATACAAGACACAGGTGAATCCCCTTTTTTGAATTGTTTTCTCTCAGTTCCTGGAAATCCCAGGTGAAGCCCAGCCCCCCTGTGGCGCCAGCTGCCATGCCGCAGGTGCATCCGATCCCCTCACTCATTGACAGACGAAATCTTCAGGTTGATGTGCATCCGAAATATGAAGTGACCATGCAGACGCAGAACCACGCAAAATGCTTTGGTTTTCGTTTGTGCCACTGTTGGCCTTTCTCAAGTAAGGTGATGCTTTCGGGGTTGGCCCGCTGTGTGCGACCAAATCCACCCACCACGAATTCAATGGTTCAGTTTCTTTCATTGATGGGAGTGTTTCATCGGGGCGTTTATTGCTAGCCCAACTCACAGCGAAGAAAGCGCCCGCCCGGATTCGCCTGTCACAGATCGGCAGCGAAGAGAACATCGTACCCCGGGCGCAACATGGGACTTGACAGACATGGCGGGAGACACGGGCACTGTCCCAGTTTCAACCGGTGAAACAGTGAGGTCATACAAAATCCACCCTGGAGATGGACCAACTGCATGTCCTGCAGTATGGTGACATGAGTGTGCTCAATGCTGCTTTTGGAAGCAAGGATGTGGCACCCGGACCGCTTGCATCCAACAGCATCCAGTCATCAAAGCATCAGAAGCCCGAAAATCGAACCTGCAGCAAGATCCGACCCTCATGCTCAATGTTTGTCAATACAACGTCTCAAAGCTGTGGACTGGTCGCTCAAGGGTCACGAATTAGGGAGCAGAGCCTCCAAAGAAGGGAGGGATAAGGGAACGGCCCCATACTCTTCCTAAACCCGCGTTCAGGTCCATCAGTTGGGCCTTTGGTTTTGGTTTGGCGATGGTTGCGCCTTCGCCGAATCCGCAGGAACGCCGCAGGTGGGCGGAAGGGTGGACGGAGACGGAGACGGACGTCGAAGCCGGAGGAGGAAGGAGGGGAGTAAGAGGGGATCGTTTTTCAGCTCGGTCTGTCTAGACGATGGGCCTACAGCTGCCAGAGGTGTACGGCAAAGATCTCTGTGGCACAGGTGTGGGCCAAAACTATCCAAAACTCCTTCCCCAATCCGGTCTTTAGATATGTCTTTATAGTTGATAGTCAAGGTGGTGTGTGTGTGTGTGTGTCTAAGTATGAGGGTCCCTTCTTGGTGTGGTAGAAACATGCTTCTGAACAGTTCTTCAGAAACCTTGAGTGATTCGATGGAGCCTCTCTTTGCAGCCAGAGAGAGGGAATGTTCCCACCCCCATAGGCCGCTGGCGCAACCTCCGACAGCCCGTCTCGACAGTCGACTGCAGGTGCTGGCTTCGGAGACGGTCGGGACGGCGAGGTGGGGCTGGGAGCGGCGAACGAGCGGTTCTGGCGGCCCACCAACAGGGCTGGCGGCCAGGGTTCGGACGAGCGATGGCCGTCATGTAGCCGTCATGTCCCACATTCACGTTCAACTTGTCTTTAGATAGTTGGAGGAACTGTACCTTTAGATAGTTGCTCTTTAGAGGACCTAGTGTATTGACTCGCCCAAACGCGAAAGCAGTCACGCCAGTAGTCATGCCAGGCCGGCACAGTTGCGGCTCGCTTTTCGTGTCGGCGCAGCTGGGCCGCAGCGGTTCGCTTGAAGCCTTTGAGGTTGGATTGGTCCTGTTTTGAAGGTTTGGGTCCCAGTTTGGGTTCAGGACGTTCGATCATATTTACTGTATTTTACTGCAATTTGTTTGAATTTCGATATGTGTTTAATAGTTTAACTGTTTTTTTAATATAGTTGAAGGAAGTGAGAAGGCCAAGCTAGAAGATGCACACTGGCGATATGAGCCTCCTTGGGCTCCGTACTGTAGATCCCGCGCTCCGACTTGTAGAGACTTGAAGCTCGTTGCATTTGTGTGGTACCTCCGCCACAAAAAGGACTTCGGTGGGCTTTGCTCTCTCTCTCTCTCTCTTTCTCATGTTCTTTCTTTTATTATTATTGTACATTCTTGTTCTTTTTAGTCCTCGTTTGTCTTCATCCATGTTCCATCTAATTATATAATGCCATCTACGACGTTCATGAGATCCCTCATCCGCAGCACCCCAGACACCTCTGAGGCTCTTGGCCTTTCAGTTTCTCACCGCGCTCCAGAAGGAACGTCCTGCGGCTCGGATGGTGAAGTTGTTCAAGCCCATTCTGGTGGTTCAGGTGGTGAGGCTCTGGATTTGTGAAAGCAATCTTTGACCAAAGAGCCAAAGAGGTCATGTTGTCATTGAAGAACTTAAAAAAAAAATAGAACCAAAACACATTCATACGGAACCCCCAAAAAAAACAAATCAACAATATCCCAAAGAAGGAGGACAGTGGGTACTTGGGGTGCTTGGCCAGTGGAGCTGATCTTGAGCACAAACATGCCTTTGGATGATTTCTTGGCACAGCGTCGTCCAAAAAACAAGAAATATGAGAGACGTTACAGGGTTGACGTGGTGGGTCCATACAAGATCATCCAGAAGATGATGTCGCACAGACTCAGTAATGAATGAACAAAGCTATGTTATCACGAAAGCTAGCCTTAGCTAGCTGGAGTTGCTCTTGCTTTAGCAAGTTAAGTGACGGGGTGGACGCACCTCAGAAACCTCAAATAATTGATTAAATCAATCTTATGGACCCCCCCCCCCCCCCCCCCCCCGCGGTTCGACTCCCCCCTGCACGCGGTGAGCGGGACCACCAAGCAGCTGCAGCACACCAAGCATCTGCAGCGCCCAGCGCAGCAGCAGCAGCACCAGCAGCAGCAGCAGACCACCCAGCGGCGGCAGCAGCAGCAGCAGCAGCATACCCAACGCCGCGGCAGCAGCAGCCGCAGCAGACCACCCAGCGCCAGCAGCAGCAGCAGCAGACGACCCGGCGCCTGCAGAGCACAGCGCAGCAGCGCCCAGCGCAGCAGCGGCAGCAGCAGCACCAGCAGCAGACCACCGGAAGCCCGGCTAGCTTTCGTTCACCCCCTCTGGCCTCAAGTTTGCAAACTCGGCTTTGCATTGAAAATAATGTCCTATGAGTAGAGCTTCTTTTTGGTACGGGTTTTATATGATTTTATTCTAATGTTTGAGATTGCTGTTTCATTTTTATATATAATAGCCTTATATTGCTTGTTGATGTTTACACTCTATGTCCCATTCCCCGGCTCGGCCAATCTAAAACAACTTGAGGGTGACTTATGTTTATAGTAGGGCGTTCCATGGGGTGTGGCCCTTTATTAATCATAGTCATAGGTTCACATTACACCGGTTGGAGAACCCATAATACAAACAATATCCTAGTGGGATCTAGTAGGAATTATGTTGTTCAAGTTTTTGCACATACGATGTCTATATGTCTCAGTCTTTTTGGAAGGACTTTGTATCCCTTAAATGCCTCTCACATACCTCAACGCAACTCGACAACGCCCCGGCTGTAGAGCAAGGTCCTCCAACACAATCCGAGGACTTGCAGGGACGCTGCAGTGGTACAGTGTGTTGGACTGAAACAGGGCCCTTGCTTTAGTGACCCCCTAGCTTTCCGATAGATTGGAAAACATTGAGCGGGAGTGTCACTTTTCTACCAGTTTTGAGAATCCTACACGGGGTTCTTTGTTTCGGTCATTGACATACCCTGCTTCTTTTTGCATACTCATACATTTTCGCACCATCCTAAAATCCTGCTCATCTTGGCCCTGTAGCACAACAATTTAAATTGGACGTTGGATTTGTTGAATGATTCTGCAGGTACTGGTCCAGGGTGATGTTGCTTTGGCAAAGGGGATGGAGTGGGGTGAGATTGGTATAGACAGGCTTAGGAACTATTGGGGGGATAGAGAAGGAATCGGAAGGATGAGGTGGATTTGATTTCCGAGCAATCCACACGTGAGTGTAGGCTGCCCAATCTCCCAGACTGTGGGACATACCGTTCACCATGTGCCAAACATATATTTAACTATATTTACAATTAATTGCACAGCACACATATATAGTCATAGTTATTTATATATATATATATACTAGGCCCACCGCCGGTGGGGGGCCCACCGCACGGCTCCTGGCAGACGGCTCATTCGGAGATGGGGGGGATGAGTCACATGCCGATGCAGTCTTTTCTCCAGCGGTGAGAGGAGTGGTGTGGAGCGATCCTCAACAAAGAAACCATGTTTTCATATTACATATAACATTATATAACTATATATATATATATATGAATGATATATACACCTTTTCCAAGGCCTTTGAGAGAAATGCAGTTGAAATGCGTGCAATTCCGGTCCAGCTTCATCCCACCGTTTCTTTCTCTCAAATCGGGATGCAGGAAAACGACGCAGAAACCACATAGGCGGCGGTGAGAAGGAGGAGAATCAGGTGACAGGCATAAGGTGTGTTTGACCATGAGCCCAAAACATAACTACATGCTAAATTACCAGGCCCACAGGTCACAAATAGAGACCTGTTGGGCCCAACCCTCAACGAACGACTTGTTGGAGGGTACTGGTACAAGCTATAATATTATATATATATATGTGTTGAAAGCATCGAGGCACAGATGTCGATTGCACGTCCCGATGTGCAAACACCGATTCTTTATAACAGAGGACTGTATGACTGTGTTGTTGCGCAGAAACGGCGATCGTGGCCAGGACTGTGCTGCGAGCCGCGCATGGGTTTTGCCGGCCAAGTCGCTTGGGTCAAACACCGATGGGTTGTTTCGGTCCTTTCAGGTCGAGTCCGACCTGAAACAGCGACGTTTCGGTCCAGCGTTGTGGGGCTTAGTTTTGCTGGGTCTTCTGGGGTTTTCTTCGAATGCGTTGGTTTTTTGGTCTTGAGTCTTGCTTGGTTCTGCACATGGAAGAAGGAAAGCAGACACCTGCAACTAGCTGCTAGCTCTGGATGTTTCGTCATTCGCTGGTTTTCGGTCCGCAGGTTCGGTGAAGCTTCAGTCGACGGCCATCCACCAGGGCGGCTGATCGACGGCCAGCCTTGAGTTCCCAATAGTCACTAGTCGGCCGCCTCTCCCTCAGTGCTGTAGCCTTCCTTCATTGACGGCGTGCGCCTTGGGGAAACTGGGATGAGGCCTGGTGTTTGACCATGAAACCCTGCCCCTGTCGTGGCCGCTCAGGAGGTGGTGTAGGTATGGTCGGCATTTGTGTGTTCTGACTTGGTTTCTCATGCCGGTGGCCGCCTACATGGGGAGTAGAGCGCAGCGTCAATTCCTCGATGACCATTTTCCCGGTCGAGGGACCAAAGCATTGTCAGATATTATCAGCCTGACTGACCGGAGGGTACTGATTCTGTAATGGAGGGAGGTGCTGATTGTCCTTGGCATTAACTAGGCATGGTACTATACTTGCCTCGAACTGATTCACTGATCAGGAAGGGTACTCCTCCACCGCATTTTCTCAGGCACAGAGTGGTGCCCCACCTATCGAGAGGCATGCTTCCGCGTGCCCGCGGCATAGGCGCCGTGAAACGCAAAACCAATGGACCATTCTGATCCGACCAGTTTTGACACCCTTGATTCCGACAGCGGACTGTCGATGGTCGCCAAGTGGTTTTTGGTACTTTTGTCTCCGAATCTTGCAGCATTCAAGTGCTGCCAAGCGGGGCGGTGGTTGGAAACTCCTCGCGGACTGCCGCGTGGTTGGATGCGGAGTGTGCACCAATTCGGTTCGGAAGTTTGGAGAAGCAGGGTTATTGCTAATTAGGGGAAGCCATCAGAATGGCAAGCCACTTGTGCTTGGAGCTTGTCGGCCTGCTTTTGGTCACTGCCTCAAGAATTTCTTCAACGTCCTCGAGCCGAACGATGGCGATCGAGGGGTCCGGTTGTGCCATCGATCAGTGAGCAACCAGATCCCAAAATATCTAACTATATAGACTCTTGGATGAATAACACGCAGGATTGCAACATCTGTCATATGGGGTGTGTGATATGGATTAATACACCAGGAGCAACACAAGACGAGAAGCTCGACCGTTCTAACCCGACCTGGAGCGACTGCGGCCTGAGCCAGGCTCACATGGCTTCACGTTCAGACCATGTGAAGGCCGTGGGGGGATGGCATGTCAGCCGGCTCGAATGAGATGATGGGTGGTGAAACATTCTGATCTTTGAGGGAAGAAACATTGAGCAACTTCATGGTTCGCTTCAACAAAAAGCTCCCCGGGGGCCCGATGCTTTAGCCTGCATTAGGCATGCCATGGCATGCCCGTGGTGATCCGCTCTAATCCCGAGTACCTATTTAAAAAGCCTCCCCAATGAAAAAAACACAATGCCCGAAATCCTAAATTTGATTATATATATACGACCCTTTCAAGCCGCTACTGAACTAGCAACATGGTCGATTTTGTGGATACTTTCCTTGATTAGGTTCCAAAAACAACCGTAACTGCCCACATTTGTCCGCCCTGTCTATCCACCATGACACGCTGCGTTTACACCAGCAGGCTTTCCTTCCCCCAATGGCACGGACTCACGCAAACGCACTGTCCACCGAGGTCACGCAAAACCGCATGGCACAGCGACATCATCTTTCGAAAGCTTTAGTTGTTAGTCTAAGAATCACTATTCTAATAAAGGTTTTTGTAGGGGAAAAGGAAGACCCTTCGATCATTTTTGACACGAGTTTAATAAAAGAATTTAAAAATCTTTTTGGACGACTTTTGGGTTTTGAAATGTTTTGAAGCTCTTCCCAGGTGACCCTATTTTGGACCCCCCCGATTTCAGGGACCTCCTTTTTTGAAAAAATGCGACCTAGTCTATTTTAAAGGGGGGGGGGCCGGAGTGTTTTTCAATATATAGGTGGACAGAATTATGCCATTTAAACCTCCGAGAACGTAGGGAGTTCCTCATCAACATCCATGCTCAACGTCATTTCATGAACCTTGCAGGCCACTTCGCTGCGACTTGTGGATCACTGAACATTTCGACGTTGACCAACAGACTTCTTCAGAAAGTCGCGAAGAAGGTTGTTGCCCGCTGGCCGATCCTAGGTGTTTCCAGAAGGGTCTGTCATTCCACCGAAAAAGACCTGTTCGCTCCGGGACGTTTTCAGTTCCCCAACCCCCAAGCGGAGCCTGGTCGCCCGTGTCGCCTGGTTGGCACCTTTCTGAAGATTCTGGTTGTGGGTGATCTAGGCAACTCCGAGAAAAGACACACCGGTGAACTATCCATAAGAGGGCCCCTAGTCAACCGAGTTGAAAAACATGTTCAGCAGTGGAGATGGCTTGTGTTCTTTTCATCGCACGCAAGCTTGATGAACCTGAAAGAAGGGTCCCTAAAATTAGGCTGATAAGAAAAAGAGCTGGGCAGCAGTCGCGTGCGAGTGATGTCCTGGTTTGGGGTGGGAGTCTGGGTCGCTGGCAGATGAGAAATAACAATTGAAAGGTTCGGAATTTCTGCCTAACACCGGGGTCAGCGCGCTCCAAAGATGTCACCCCCTCACCCTGGAGCCACTCTTTCGAGAGAACGGTGCCCGCGACATGGGTTTGATGTTGACCTTTTCTTCAACCTGTGCGCCAGGCTACAAGCTCGTGGAGGGACAGATTCGGAGAAGCGAGCAAGAGACGCATAGCATACGGAGAGCTGTGCGTTTGAAGGTGTGAAGTGGAACAGTGGAACCTGAACAGAAACTTAGTTGAGACTCCCCTCTCGCTGCTTGAGGAACAGACATTGGCCGAACTAAACGTGTGGGACAGCAGACCCCATGGGAGCCTTTCTTACTGGACTGTTCCATACTCGTAGGATGGGGCTTTGCGTCCGGCTTGTTGCTGCAAAGCAGCGCGGGGTACACAAGCCTGACCGCACTGCTGTCCCTTTGCCTGACAGCAGAAATTGATCGAATTTCTATATTTCTTGGCGAACTCGATAGGCCGCAAAAAATCACGCAAATTATATATAGGTTGTGTCATGTTGTGTCGAAAAATACCTTGATTAAACATACTCGTGGAAATGTATTGTGCTAGCCGAAATCTAATTTTCCTTTACTACAATTTATTCATCTTCAATATCAAAATAATGAATCAACATAAAGATTCCATTGTTAAATTTTTAAATATTCAATAAATATAAGGATCACATTTTATTTATACAATTTTGCAATATTATTGTAATTCTATTAATCCAAATTAACTTTGTAATATGGAAAATTTTAAATATATTTATTCTTAAAATTGAAATGTTTAATGTAGGGACGATTAGCAACGATGGCTCCAGATGGGTATCCACAAATAAAGTAGGTTTTGAATAGAGTGAAATTGGTAGCCGTATAGCGTTTCGCGTTGGAGAGAATGCCCTAGTCTTGCGGGGCGATGGTAGTTATAAGGCCCTCTAGGAGCCACGTTACGATGATCTCATATTTGTTGGTGGCATTACGTATCGCAAAAATATGTATTGCATTGTTGAGGAAATCTTTACGAAAGAAGAAATGTCTATTTCCTTTTGATCGAACATTATTTTTTTTATATTATCCGGATTATACGTCGGCCGTTGATTGAATGGGGAATATATATTTGAATTTAATGGGATAGGAATGAATAATATTAATATTATCAAAGGAAGTTTAGTGTGCAAAATTTCCGTGTTACGGACGTTTAACAATTGTGCAAATACCACTCATCATACACCACCATCATACACCACTTATTATACATTACTTCTCATACACCACTCATTATACACCACTCATCATACGCCACTTATCATACACCACTCATCATACATCACTCATTATACACCACTCATTATACACTACTCATTATATACTATTCATCATACACCACTCATTATACACCACTCATTATGCACCACTTATTATACACCACTCATCATACACCACTTATTATACACCACTTATCATACACTACTCATCATATACCACTCATTATACACCACTCATCATACACGACTGATCACACACAACTCATCAGACACTAGTCATTATACACCGCTTATAGACCAACTCTGGCAGCTTAAGCTGTAGGCAACTCTAGCTCTAGGTGCCGATTTCGTGGTAGGTATAGTACTTTGTGAACCTCCATGTGCAGATTTCGTGATAGGCACAGCACTTTGCGAACTTCCATGTGCAGATTTCGTGGCAGGTGCAGCACTTTGTGAACCTCCATGTATAGATTTCGTTGCAGGCACAGCACTTTGTGCATCTCCATGTGGAGATTTCGTGGCAGGCGCAATACAAAATGCGTTGTGGAGAGATAGCGAACGCACGAAATGCTGTATTTTTTTTTTTTCAATGGAACCGGTGGCTCCGAAGCTGGCAAGTCAAGGTCTGCAGAACGACGGTTGCGAGACGGTCTCGGGTTATTCTCGGATCATTCTCGGGCACGGTCGGAATCGTCCCTCCATTGGGATTAAAGTTTGCACTTATTTCTTGAAGTGCAGATTTCGTGGCAGGCACAGCACTTTGTGAACCTGCATGTGCAGATTTCGTGGCAGGCACAACACTTTTGTGAACCTCCATGTGTAGATTTCGTGGCAGGTGCAGCACTTTGTGAACTTCCATGTGCAGATTTCGTGGCAGGTGCAGCACTTTGTGAACCTCCATGTGCAGATGTCGTGGCAGGTGCAGCACTTTGTGAACCTCCAAGCTGGCAAGTTAAGGTCTGCGGAACGACGGTTGCGAGACGGTCTCGGGTCATTCTCGGATCATTCTCGGGCATGGTCGGAATCGTCCCTTCATTGGGATTAGAGTTTTCACTTGTTTCTTGAAGTGCAGATTTCGTGGCAGGCACAGCACTTTGTGAACCTGCATATGCAGATTTCGTGGCACGCACAACACTTTGTGAACCTCCCATTGCAGATTTCGTGGCAGGCACAGCACTTTGTGAACCTCCATGTGCAGATTTCGTGGCAGGCACAGCACTTTGTGAACCTCCATGTGCAGATGTCGTGGCAGGCGCAGCGCTTTGTGAACCTCCATGGGCAGATTTCGTGGCAGGCGCAGCGCTTTGTGAACCTCCATGTGGAGATTTCGTGGTAGGCACAGCAGTTTGGGAACCTCTATGCGCAGATTTCGTGGCAGGCACAGCATCTGGGGAGCTGGAAGCTGAGAACTGGCGGCTCTTGGCGACTTTCTAATACAACTGTAGTACGCGGAGTAATCTGTAGAGCTGGAAGCTGAGAACTGGCGACTTTTCAGTACAACTCTAGTACGCGGAGCAATCTGTAGAGCTGGAAGGTGAGAACTGGCGACTTTCTAGTACAACTTTAGTACGCGGAGCAATCTGTAGAGCTGGAAGCTGAGAATTGGCGACTTTGTAGTACAACTTTAGTACGCGGAGTATCTGGCGAGCTGGACGATGAGAGCGGGCGACTTTGTAGTACAACTTTAGTACGCGGAATATCTGTGGAGTTGGAAGCTGAGAACTGGCGACTTTCTAGTACAACTTTAGTATGCGGAGCAATCTGTAGAGCTGGACGCTGAGAACTGGCGACTTTCTAATACAACTTTAGTACGCGGAGCAATCTGTAGAGCTGGAGGCTGAGAACTGGCGACTATGTAATACAACTTTAGTACGCGAAGCAATCTGTAGAGCTGGAAGCTGAGAATTGGCGACTTTCTAGTACAACTTTAGTACGCGGAGCAATCTGTAGAGTTGGAAGCTGAGAACTGGCGACTTTCTAGTACAACTTTAGCACGCGGAGCAATCTGTGGAGCTGGAAGCTGAGAATTGGCGACTTTGTAGTACAACTTTAGTCCGTGGAGCAATCTGTGCAGCGAGAAGCTGAGAATTGGCGACTGTGTAATACAACTGTAGTACGCGGAACAATCTGTAGAGCTGGAAGATGAGAATTGATTGGCGACTTTCTAGTACAACTTTAGCACGCGGAACAACTTGTGGAGCTGGAAGCTGAGAACTGGCCACTTTGTAGTACAAGTGTAATATGCGGAGGAGTCATCTCTCGCGATTGAATTATCTTTCGTTGCTCATTTATCTCTCGCTGCTGAGTCAATCTCTCGCTATAGCCATTTCTCGCGGTTGAATCATCTTTCGCGACTCAATTATCTTTCGCGGCAGGTTTGGCACAATTCATATTGATAGTATTTGGTTGCATTTATGCAGGACAGGACATTTAATTGCTGGTCAATACACCACTCATATATACATTGATCCTGCAGGGGGCACATACCTTACACACGTGGAATCCCGTGGGTCAAAAGTCCGGAGCGCGTGCGTTTGACTGGAGGACGCGCATTTTGGAGAGAACGTGGATAGTCCTATAGGTCAATTTGTTCTAAGGAAACCCCGGGAACTGCTTGAAAATAAAAAAGTTTTTTTTATATTGAATATTTTTATATGGTTATTATATTTAGTGTTATTTGGAAATTTAAAAAAGGATGTTGATTTTTTTTAATGTTATGATTTGATATTCGTTGTTTCCGGAATATATTTATTCGTATTGTCGTTTTTCTATCTTTTGAGCAATATTGTTTTATATAAATTGATCTTAAATTTAGACGATATGGATATATATATATATATTTGATTTGATTAATTTTGGATATGAGGATTATTCTAATTGCCTTAGGTGGAGGTGAAAATTATATTGTTTTTTTTTTTATGCATGAATTATATTAGGTTTAGATTATATTTCATTCCGAAATAGGGGTAATTATTTTAAGAGGTCGTTTATTAGCATTTATTTTAGATTATTAAATATAGGAATGATTATTTATAAGAATTAGATATGGTTTGTAATGCAATTTTTATTTCAAATTAAATAAATATGGATTTAATATCGATATAAAAAATCATTTCTGTTCGATCGTTAATCGAATTATTGCTTGCAATCTTTATCCGAATATTCTAGTGGAATGCATCTAGGGCGTTGTTCCCCATTCGATGTCGTTATATAATCTAAGAGATTATATGGGAGATGATTAATGAATGGAATTCGAAATATTGGTATATAATCCATGGAATTGATAAATTTGCTAATAATGATTAGAATTGCATTGGTACCTAGGGAGGTTATTTCGATTTTTCATTTCATCCCTGGTCGCATTAGATTGTCTCTTTATCGTCCCCACGATATTTATATAGTTTATGAATATGATTTGAATTCTGGAGGAAATTAATTGTTTTGCTACAAACATGCAAGAAAATTTGGAGTTGTTTTCGTGATTGTACAGGTTATATCATTTCTAGATATCTTCTTCTGTTCGGAGGCGATTTTAATACGTTTCTTGATTTTGATGCTAACCATCTTTTTATGAAGGATCCCAAATATGTACGAGCTGCCTAATCTGATAGAGCGTTTTTCCAGTCGCTGATCTAGGACCATCATTTAGTGGCAGTGCACACGAAAGCTTTTGGATCGACCTTTATGCATGGGACCCATAATTCTAGGATTGGTTTTATGCTCATGCGACAGGAGCAAGTTATTTAGAAGGCTGTGTAATCCAAGTTGCAACCGGATTTCGAATTTCTGTTTGGATAACAAGACCCTTGTCACATCCCGTTGAGTATGATTTTATCGAAGTGGTATTTAACATCCAAACCCAAGCCCCGGGAAAATGTTAACCGCTTCCGTCTCCGCCAGGCTTGGCAACAGAATTCTGTGACGTGGCAAACCTTTATCTAGCAGGCACGAACCATGATAACGGAGAT